AGCAGATAAAACATCTCATGTTAAGATCCTCGTCTTTGCTTCTCTACAGTAAAACAGTTACCTGTTCATGGAGACTTGGGTTCAACAGACAATTTGAAGAGAACAAACAAGAATTTTCAGGATGTGGTTGGTACATTCATCCATCCATCCATTTTCGTCCTCTTATCCGGGGCCGGGTCGCGGGGGCAGCAGCCTAAGCAGGGACTCCCAGACTTCCCTCACCCCAGACACGTCCTCCAGCTCCTCCGGGGGGACCCCGAGGCGTTCCCAGGCCAGCCCAGAGACATAGTCCCTCCAGCGTGTCCTGGGTCTTCCCCGGGGCCTCCTCCCGGTGGGACATGCCCAGAACACCTCCCGAGGGAGGCGCCCAGGAGGCACCCGAAACAGATGCCCGAGCCACCTCAACTGGCTCCTCTCGACGTGAAGGAGCAGCGGCTCTACTCCGAGCTCCTCCCGTGTGACTGAGCTCCTCACCCTATCTCTAAGGGAGCGCCCAGCCACCCTGCGGAGGAAACTCATTTCGAGCGCTTGTATCCGCGATCTTGTCCTTTCGGTCACTACCCAGAGCTCATGACCAGAGGTGAGAGTAGGAACGAAGACTGACCGGTAAATCAAGAGCTTCGCCTTTCGGCTCAGCTCCCTCTTCACCACAACGGTCCGATACAGCGACCGCATCACTGCCGAAGCTGCACCGATCCGCCTGTTAATCTCCAGTGGAGGAGTTCAAGTATCTCGGGGTCTTGTTCACGAGTGAGGGGAGGACGGAACGTGAGATTGGTACATTCATGTAGTTTTAAAAAACATGACAATATCAAGTAATCCAAAGTATTCAGATTACATTACTCACTTTATGTAATTTAATGGATTATGTTACAAACTACATTTTGGGATATGTAATCTGTAATCTGTAGGGGAATACATTTCTAAAGTAACCTTCCCAACACTGGTTATATGATGCATGATTATGTTAACTGGCCAAAGAAAAATAAACTACTACTACTATTTCAAAGTGAGAATGTGACGACTCCTACTGAGGTGTGGCCACATGTGTTTGATCTGATTTACCTCCATATTCACCTGCGTTTGTCACTTCCTGACAAGATTAGCAAGCAAAAGAGAACAGAAGTATTTACACTGAAGGTTCTTTCTAACAAACCAACTGAGTTTTAGTTACAAGACCAAATGTGTTTCTAAAAGATAAACTCATCACTATTTTAATGTAATCAATCATAATCAATATTTTCCTGTGGGCGTCTGGTCTCAGGTACAAATCACATTCATTTAGACAAAAACAGATTGACAGAAATCTTTCCACAATCTCAATTTCTATCCCACTTGTTTCAGAGTGTTTACAAGAGTCTGTGGTGAACATAGACACTGAAGCTGAGTCCTGAGAGCACCATCCATCACCAGGATCACACAGGCTGTTGTGAAAAATGATCTGAGGTCCCTCTCTGCCCCCAGTCTGCCCCCAGTCTGCCCCAGTACTACCCCAGATAAACATGTTTACCCCCTGCCACACGTGGGTAGTACTCGAGGAACTTTTTAAAGAAGTACTTTACATTTCAGAGCTTTTCTAGCAGCATACTATTATATATACTGCAGTAAGATTTTGACTGAAGTAACAGTACTCCAACTTGAGTTAAGTTAAAGTAAAAGTGTTGGTTCCTCTTCCCACTGTAAGTCGACAAGGGACAAAAGATTTATGTAACAATATGAAATGATTTGTGTTTTTCAGATATGATATGACCTTTTTTTGCCTATTCTTTGAACAAAAAAAAAAGTGGCTTATTTAATGTTTTGTCTTTCCATTAACATTAACTTCAAATTCAAAACGTTACTCTTTCAGTCAGTACTTTTCCCAAATACTTTATTCTGACTTGAGTCATTTCTTGGACCACTACTTTAAACTTCTTTTTTTTTTTTTTCTTCAAGCGTTTAACATGTCAGGATGATCATTTGTTGATTTGTTGTCAACTTTTTAAAGAAATTGTACTTCATGTTGACAATAAATGATCTGAACATGTGTGTTTCTTGCAGCGCTCCTTCAGATAGGAGTTTTTGTCCTTTAAAAAACAGAAAAAAATGATTGATAATGTCTTTCCATTAACATTAACTTCAAATTCAAAAAGTTACCTCTTCAGTTAGTACTTTTCACAAATACTTTACTTTGACTTGAGTCATTTCTTGGAACACTATTTGTACTTCTTTTTGTTTATTGTTTTGTTTTAACATTTTTTATGATTCTTTTCTTCAAATGTTTAACATATCAAGATGATAATTTGCTTTTAATACAAACACACAACAGAAAAGACAAGACAGGCGAACTAAAGACAAAAAGAAAGAACTTTGCACTCGTACTTAAATAATATTTTGAGTATTACTTGGTCAGGACCGTTGCTGGAGGGTTTGACTTTCAGTACACGCTTTGGGTTAATGGTAAACTATGTCCAAAGGAAAACCACTCAGACACAGGGAGAACATGCAAAGTCAAACCCTCAACCTTCTTGAAGGTGGACCAATATATAAATGTATTTCATCATTTCAAACAGGTGCAGGTAAAACAATGATACTTTACATAACATGAAGACGAGCAGCGGGTGGTGGACCCTGCCCAAGAAAGTGACACCTTTAAAGTGACAGGTTTAAAAAGCAGACAGAGTAAAAAAGCTCCTCATCCCGGTTTATCGTCCCATGGGCACGTTTCTGTATTTCGATTGCCTCTTTGATCCAGCGACGCTGTTTGTTTTCCTCTGTCCCAATGATGTTTTACTCTCACACACCTGGGATATTGTCCTGAGGAAGTGGGACTGCAGGTGGCGCTGTCGTCCTGCCTCCACCGGTAGAAAAACAGCACCAAAACCTGTTTAAATCAGATGACCAGACACGTCACAGTAACATCCACTGACCACTCTGAGGAAGAGCACTAGTGAGCAGTCCAAACTGTCAGGTACGAAAACAAACTCTTGGTCTGAAAAAAAAAAAGAACCTAATAACATAAATTATCGGAAGACCAAATGAACCTCATTAGACTACAACCTCAGAGGTCAAAAAAACAAAAAAAACAAAACTATTCTCTCATGTGAGCAGATGTGGAGTAGATAGAACAGCTTATGAAATAGCTTAGATGACCATATCAAAACTTGTACCAACTTGGTGCACTTCAAAAACAATATCAAAATCTAATCTTACAGAAATATCTAAAAGTCTAGATACACTGTCTTCACAATTAAACCACGATCAACTAAATAACTAATCACATGCTTTTCTTTAACATGACCTTTTATTTTGATACAGTCATAAACGATAAACTTTTGTGCCTTCTTTACCATTATTATGAGTTTGTGCGACATTCCAGGCAAAGCAATAACATCTCCATGGAGACAAGCATGTGACGGACCCTCCACTACAAATTTTACGCAGTGCATCTTTAAATCTAATGATCTGAGCAGTTTTCTAACCTGTCGTAAGTATTGTCCTGAAATGCCTTGTATAACCAGCCTCAAGTGTCACAAATAATTTTAAGTAGGTCGAAGATGGAAAGTCAAACGTGGCATTTGTTGATTTAGACTGTGAACTATAGCGCAAAAACACCCCATGACCTGCTTTCCTGTTCAAACAAGCTGCCCAGTCTGGAATCCAGCCAAATATATCCAACACAACACTTCATCTTCCTCTAAATATAACAAGTCCTTCTACACAAAAGCATTACTGTTGATGGGGATTGTTACAGTTCAGGTTTCGACACATTTTGCATAACTGTGCAAGGATAAATTTAAAACGTTTGAAGAAAATAGGCTTATGATCAAAGTAATCTGGGATACAGCCTGGGAAGAAATCTAAGAACTCAGCTGAGGGTTAGTCAAAGGCAAAAATGTTAAAGCTGCGTTGTGTACCTTTTGTGGTGGTCCGTCAAATGCTTTTCTCCACTGAGAGGTTATTGCTTTGTCTGGAATGTTTCACAATGTGACATTAAACCCTTATCGCCATGGAGAACAAACCAGAGTTACAGGTCAGATCTGTGGAGAGGCGACCCCGCTCAGTCAGAATGCCTGTTTTTCTAGGTACTTCTGAGCTATAAAACCACCTGTAATTGAATAAATGTAATGTTGATCTGTTTAATGTCACACTGTGGAACATTTCAGGCAGAGCAGTGACACAACCGTAGAAACAAGCAGGTGATGGACTGCCAACCAAAAAGGTCACAATTTGAATCTTTTTATACAGTTTAGTTTCTTACTGTACTGATTTCTGTATAAAGTTTGTGTTTGAGCGCCCTCTGCAGGTGTAGTCTTGTGAGTGCAGTTTGGGTCAGATACAGGGATATGTAATACGTTATTTTCATAAATCCATGTGTAATAGTTTTAAGAGCTTTTGCCACACCCCTTTTAGCCAACTAATCAATCGGCAGCACATCTTTTGTCAACCAAGAATTTCTTTAATCGACCAAAGTCTTAGTTCTATTCATGAATATATTTTGATATTAGAACGGAGACTATAGTATCATATTGTTCTTTCAAATGCCACTCTCAATGTTCACATGATGGTGGTGTTAGATCTATGGAGATGCGATTCCAGCTCTCACAAATTCTGTTCACTGGGCAAGATACTTGAGCCGCCTTGCCCCATGTCTGCGTACACTTGTCTGTGTCTGCGTTTTGTTTTTACTCCGTTTGTTTTCATTGTAGTAAAGTGTAGATTTTTTCATTTTTCTATGTGCAGCACTTTAGAAAATGTGCTATAGAAATAAAGGATGAAATGTGCAGGTGTGTGAGCACCATAGAAAAATGACCATATACAGCAGCTCTTTGATAGGCCTATAATAAGAGTACTCCTGCCCTCTAGTGGACATGTGTAGAACAGCTCAGATACTTAAGAAGTGCTATAAATAACTGTTAGGGTCATTCATCTGTGTTCATGCCACAAAACATCAACTAGACCTGACATGAACCTGGCTCCTCTGACTGTTAGAAAACCAAACTCACAAAAACAGATTTAACTTGTTTTACAACCACATTTATTTCCAAAACATGTTAACAAATGAGATGCTCCATGGCATTGAACTGGCACCCCACAGCTTCAGGAAACTACAGAGAGAAAGAAAACAAGTGTAAGGTACAACAAATACATGAAAAACTACAGATGACTGTCATACATTTTGCAAAACTCTTGTGAGCTTTCAGCTATATTACATCAAAAACATACCTTCACTCATGTGAGCAACGCTACATCATTAGTCTGTCTACATCTCGGAAGCTCTAAATGCTCCGTTCCACCTTGTGATGTCATGTAATGGTAGTTTAACTTACCAGCTACTTTTATCTTTGGTTCAGTATAGTTTGACAAATTGCAGGGCTGAAATTATCCAAATGATTCCAGTGAAGGTGTGTGGAGTTTAAAGACACTGGAGAGCTTCCTGTATTACCACATGACATCACAAGGTGGAAAAGTGTGTTTTCAGTTCAAGAAAAACGTATAAAAATGCAGAATTTGTGTGTTAAACGTGTGAATAAAAAAACTCCAGGTATGTTTTTCATGAGGAGCCATTTTACCAGATCAGAAAATAGAGCAACATAGGCAAGTTTTCTGCTACTTATGTTTTGTTTAAATGTTTATTACCAATAAACATTCTGTCATCTTAACTGGATAGATTCCCTGATATGCTTTAAGACCGCTTCATAGTAGTGAATATTTGCTGTCAAGATGCAATACCCAATGCAAAATATTACAACCATAATGATGATAGCAGCAATTTGGATAAAGTGAATAGATTTGGCTCTACACACAATGACATATATATTTTATTTTATTAGAAATTGCAGGTTTGAGTGTGTTACCTATCGCAGCCTCCTGGCCTCTCTCTCAGACTCCAGCAGGGTGAGCACGTCTCCCTCTCTCACGGGGCCCTTCACGTTCCTGATGATGGTGCGGTTACTGTCATCCATGAACTCCACACGGACCTGCCACACGAGGACAGCAAAACATGAATACAAATCCAACCGGAACTAGAGATCAGGTAGGTCGGAGCAGTAAGAACAAAGGGGTGGGGGGGGAAAAAAAACACTAACTTGGCTTTTTTCCTCCAGACAATGCATTATGCAACTTTCTGATAAAAGGGTGCATCAAATGCTTTTCTTTATGGAGATGTTATCGCTCTGCTTTGGAATGTTTCACAGTATGGTATTAACCCTTCCATCTTCATGGAGACCAAACCAGACCATATTACAGGTCAGATCTGTGGAGAGGTGACCTCGCTCAGAGTCAGAATGTCTTTTTCTAGCTATAAAACCATCTGTAATTAAATAAATGTAGAGCTGTTGGTTAGGAGTCTGTCACCTGCTTGTTTCTATGGATTTGTCATAGTTCTACCTGGAATGTCCTACCTTACATTTATTCAATAATTCCATCTATTATTGGATTTATAGCTCAAAAATACCTAGAAAAACACGCACTGTGACTGAGAGGTGTCGCCTCTCCACAGATCTGACCTGTAACTTGGTCTGGTTTAGTCTTCATGAAGATAGAAAAGTGTAATTTGCTAAACATTCTAGACAAAGCAATAACATCTCCAAAGAAAAAAAAGCATAATTTGATGGATTCTCCACCAGAAAAGTTACACAATGCACTTATAAAACAAATGTAGACTCAAGTGTATCGCACACTGTATATTCTGCCATTAAGAATGTTTACGCCCCCTTATGTGTTATTACTTCATGGAGTACAGTCAGTATTACTGGAAAGGGAAATATGCCAACAAGTCTGCATCTTCATTTGGGCTTTTTGGGTGGAAAAATGTGTTGTAAATGTGACGTAAAAATAGCTAATACAAATTTGCCTCCCTTATGTATGTTTGGGTCACTTGTTTTAAGGTTTTAATCAAAGGCTTGGTTGTTCTCTGAAAATCTGACAACCCTCTACACCAATTATTAGCAGGTTTCCAAGAACAAAATGAAGCACCACAATGGTGAGTACGACCATTACACAGGGGAGACCAAAGAGATGCATATTTAAATCATTTTAAGGGCACACAAGAACCCAATTAGTCACTTAACAGGTAATAAAGTGATGATTTCTGACTTTATTTAAAAAAAGAAAGAAAATGCATGGTTATTACAGTTGAAAATCTATTTTAACATTTTATAATCATAGTGTAGACAAAGTACTTTTAGTTTAGTTGATAGTTAAAATCACCAAAAATGCTACAATGTGCCTAGAAATGTATTTGTGATAGTTCAAATATTGCAAAAAATAAATAAATGGACTGTACATTTAAACAAGCCTAATAGGAAGTTCGAAACACCACGCTAATGAGCACAATGTCAATCAATTCTGACATTTTTCGGTACTGGCACATGTAAACCTCTGTTACTTTACATGACAAAACTAGGTTCTGTATTTTCTCTGCTTTATATTTTCAAAGTTAAGGCCAGGAGTAGGTTAAGTATCTGTTAATAAGGCAGAGTACAGAGAGAAAGCGCCGCTTCAGTGCGTGACGGGAGCCGGGAGTCGGATCTTACCTGTGTACACTGTCCCTGGGAACCGGTTCTGCCCAGAACCCTGGTCACCTGGAAGACAACAATCAGATAATTTAGATCTGCCTTTCATGTGGAGTTTGACACAGACCAAAACGGGAATCGTGAGGCAGTTGTTTCAGATGTAGCCTGTGAGCTACATGAGGAAAACGTGAACGGCCTCCATGATGAGCGCCAGTACGCGACACTTAGGATCATTTTACAGCAGCTAAACCCTCGATTGGCACCGGGGTTTTGTTCGATTCGTATACAAATAACATTACTACAAATATATATTCAAGAAACTATGTGAAATACTCCACAGAATTGGATTTCTTACTCTGGCGAGCTTGATGGGCTGCACGCGGCTGGCGTCCATGTTGAAGCGTAGATCGGAAAGGAAGTCACGTGGTCTCAAACCGGAATATAACGAGCAGGAGCTTCACAGTAAAAGTTCAGCAGATACACTGTTTCCGGTAACAAAGAAGAGTTTTCTTTTTAAAACTATTTTCTCAGATTAATATGTCACAATCGCCTGTTTGTGGAGATTTTTTTACATGCCTTTAAGAAGAAGAGACATAATGGAATGTTTCCACAGTAAAGTAACTAGTCTATTTGAGAAACAGAACAAAAATGAAACATTACATATAAAGTCTTAAACTGTTTCTATACATTCTGTGAACATTTTGAGGTTTTTGGCCTGCGAAAATGTCAAATTTTTTGAGACACCCTGTACTTTCTGTTTTTGTACAAAATGGTTTTCCTGAGGTATTTTTTGAATCTCTGCAATTCTAAGAATGCACTATGCCTGTGCACTGGTACTGACACACTTTATCTAATCCAGGGGTGGGCAAACTACAGCCCCGGGGTCATATGCGGCCCTCCTATCTTTTTAATCCAGCCCGCCAAATTTAAATAATAATAATAATCATCAGTCATTTCAATAAATAGTAAATACCGTGGGATTTGAAATGCTTGTTGTAATGATTTAACAATAACGTAATGTTTTCTACATATTATTTTCTGTATTATAATATCCCATGTTATTTTTTTGTTCTCTTATGCGGTGGATTACCAAAAAACTCCACCCATCTGCTCCTGGTCTGGCCCTTATGTAAAATTTTAGAACCCCTTGTGGCCCACAAGTCAAAAAGTTTGCCCACCCCTGGTTTAGTCCCTCAAGTGCAGTAATATATTGTCTCCTTTCCTTTTCTCCAAGACGTCCCCAGAGGAAAAATGAGATGATGGAGATGATCCGCAGTTTGTTTGTCTGCTTCATAAAGCTTTCAGTGAGATACATAGAAATAGGTAGGCCATTGCATTTTTTTATCCTTAAAATATGACAACTTTATCTTAAATTAAATCACAAATGGTCACTTGCTAAGTAGATTTGAACTTTTATCATAACCTAAATATGTCGCATTGATCACTTTTGTATAATTCAGCCTGAAAAGTCCACATTCAGCAGCAAACGTCTTCATTCCACAGGTGTCTCCTCCCTCAGGCTTACGTTATGCAGCCCTGTACGGAGCTTAGCGGAGCCTCGTTAGCAGTGGCGCTCTGTCATCTCACCACTCTCTCCTCGCTCAAAGTCTTAAATCGGTGCTAATCCCAGTCAACAGTATTTTTAACTTCGTTCGGACAGAAAGAACAGCAATAGGATTAGGGAATCAGTGAGGAAGCTCCAGCTCTTGATCTCCTTGCACGCCGACAGACAAATGCAACAACCGGGCTACTACTTCTAACTTTATTTTAGATTTACATTTCTTAGCACAATGTTGACTTGAATTATTGGAAATATTTTGTAACTTTAAATTTTTTTTTTTTTACATTGGTCAGGATCAAAATTTCAAAATGGCGAGCTCTATGAAACCCAAGTTGAAGGTGCTCAAAAAGCGACGATCGAGTCTTTTCGCGTCCATAAAACGTGAGTTCAGCTTCACATCAAGCGATGACCAAACGCCGGAATTCCCATTTTCACAGGAAAGTTCTGTCAAACCGTGGACTTCTATGGACAATTTAGACAATGCGGAAAACGAGAAGAAACCAACGATACGGAAGTCCAATGTCGTGAATTTGAACGTGGGCGGGAAAATTTTTCACATTCCTAAACATCTGGTTCTGAAGTATCCCAAAAGTCGGATTGGTGTGCTGGCGATGTGCGAGGATCCGGTGAAGAGGTTAAGTCTCTGTGACGACTACAACGTTCAGAACAATGAGTTTTTCTTCGACCGGGACCCTATGTTCTTCCACTATATTTTCCACTTCTACTGCAGTAACGTGCTGTGGGTGATGGACAGTCTGTGTCCTGTCAACTTCGAGGAGGAGATGTCCTTTTGGGGGTTAAGACTCAAGGACACACCAAGGTGGGACAAAACACAGCAGTTATAATAGGGTTTTTCAAAATCAAAAACTGGAACATCCCTGGTTTGGGTTGGCTGGTCATAATAAAATTGTGAAACGTGTGCGAAATTAAGGAAAATTGTTCTGCACTCAGCACTGATGTGAGTCAGTATAGTCACATTTTCTTTGTGTTTTGATCATTTTCAAGCAGCTTTTCTGTATTTTACCTAAACAAGTGACAATTTATGTCTCTCTTTACTGTTGGCAGGGATCAGATTGGTCAAAAGTAGGGATACTGGTTTTTTGATAAATCTGCTGGGACAGGGGACACAGGACTCAAAACTGGGACTGTCCCGGGTAAATAGGGACGTCTGTTCACCCTGAGCTATAAGCTAAATACTGTGTCAATACTAGTAAAAACAGTAGGTCTAAATATATCCAGAGGAAAATTCTAAATAATACACATAATGATGAAATGAATGGCCTCATCAATTCTTAAAGGCGCATTGTAACTTTTCTGCTGGAGGGTCCGTCAAAGCTTTTCTTCATGGAGATGTTATTGACTTCCGGAATGTTTCACAATATAGCATTAAACCTTTTTATATTCATGGAGACCAAACCAGACCAAGTTACAGGTCAGATCTGTGGAGAGACGACCCCCGCTCACAGTCAGAATCTCTGTTTTTCTAGGTATTTTTTAGCTATAAAACCACCTGTAATTGAATAAATGTAAAGTAGAGCTGTTTAGTGTCATACTGTGGGACATTCTAAGCAGAGCAATGACATCCATAGAAACAAGAAGGTGACGGACCCTCAGCCGAAAAGTTACACAATGCATCTCTCTACTGTTTTTACTCTCTACTGTGCAGAGTGGATAATGGGTAATTAAAAGTTCTATATTTACACAAAATCTACTCTTATGAGCTTTAAACCATGTTAGAATGTTGTTACCTCATCATGTCCAAAACTAAAAATGTTCTAGTCCACCTTGTGATGTCATGAACCGATAGTTTTCAAGTTAACAGCGGCTTCCTTTCACCTTTAGTTCAGTAGAAAAAGGCAGTTCCTGGACTGAAATTATCTAATGAAGGTGTATGGAGGTGTACAGTGGAGCACTTCCTGTATCAGAGTGTTTTCCATTTGAGAGAAGAACTCAGCCTAAATATGCAAGATTTGTGCGTCAGAGTAGTGCCGACACATAACATCATGACGACTTTTCAGATCAAAAGATGGGATATTGTTTAAATTTTCAATATTCTGAAACGCACAAACAAAGCAATAGCATCCTTTGAATCCTCCATGTCATGTATTTTCCTTAATCCTTTCTCCCTCTTCCAGGTGTTGCCGCATCCTATTTGAGGAGAAACTGGACGACATCCGAGAGAAGCTGAAGGTGAACCAGGAGCTCATTGCAGAGATCAAACCTCACCAGGACGACAGCGTGTACCAGACCATGTTCCTGGGAGACTTCCGGAAGATGCTCTGGGACCTCATGGAAAACCCCTACTCTTCCCTAGCGGCCAAAGCTTTCGCCGTCTTCTCCAGCCTTTTCGTGCTCATTTCTATCGTTGCCATGACGATGAACACCGTCAAGGAACTCCGGGACTACACACTTGGCGGGAAAACCTACATGGAGTGGATAGAGATCGCCTCCATTCTCTTCTTCACCGTGGAATACTTTTTGCGTTTGGTGACCACTTCCAACATCAAGCAGTTTGTGAAGAGCGCGTTGAACTTTGTGGACCTGGTTGCCGTGATGCCGTACTTTTTGCAGATCATTTTCGAGGCGTTTTTCGTTGATTCGGAGGATGTGAGCGCGCAGGAGGATCTGAAAACCATGGCCAGGGTTAGCAAAGTCAGCAAAGTCCTCAAAGTGGTGAAGCTAATGAGAATTTTCCGAATCCTGAAGCTGGCGAGACACTCAACGGGAATGAGGGCGTTTGGGTTCACCATCCGACAGTGCTCTGAACAGGTGAGAAGAATCAGTCCATGCAGTGGGTGAAGTACAAGATTTTGTTACTTAAGTAAAAGTACAGATGCAAAGATAAAAAGTTACGCAAGTATCACATGAAAAAATCTACTTAAAGGTGCATTGTATAACTTTTCTGGTGAAGGGTTCATCGCCTGCTTGCTTTTATGTCACTGCTCTGCCTGGAATGTTCCACAGTGTGACATTAAACAGCTCTACTTTACATTTCTTATATTACAGGTGGTTTTATAGCTCAACAATACCTTGAAAAGCAGGTGTTCTGACTGAGTGGTGTCGCCTCTCCACAGATCTGACCTGTAACTTGGTCTGGTTTGGTTTCCATGAAGATCAGAAAAGCATTTGACAGAAAAAAAAAGTTCCACAATGCACTGTTAACAAACTGTGTTGGTTAAAACTGGGACTGGAATCATTCAGAAGTTGCCGATACAATACACACCTCGATACATAAGCCACAATATGATACATATCTTGATACAGTGCACTTTCCATTCGATACGATATATTTCAAAATACGATTCGATACAGTTCAATAAAAAAATAAAGGCTTAATCATGGCTGTGATACTACAAGTGTTTGTTAAACCACTTCTTGTGCAAAGTTCATAAGAAACACAAACATTTTAATCATCAAAACAGTGAAAATGTCAAATGTGTCACATAAACGAGTTTCCTTCCTCTGAACAAACAACAAAACTGTAGCTGTAACAAAATAATTTAATAAAATATACCAAAAAATACTCTTGGTGATATAATGATACAGCAGCCCATGATATCAATACTGTATCATCCCATTAAAGGATATGATATATTGATATTTCAATATTTTTGCACATCTCTAGTTAAAGCTGGTGTCATATTAAAAATACATTTCTTTCTGAAGCCCAAGTGTCACAATACTAAAACTTGATTTCAATACTAAGGAAGAGACTCGATACTCAAAACTGATTCTGATACCTCTATGATAATAAAAACTCATTATTTAGGCAACTGAATGTGATTTTCAACATGAAATCATAGTACTTTCTTTCTATTCCCATGTGGTCTTCTATCTGTGTAATCCCTCAGTGGTCCAGGTAAGTTCCAGACCACAATCAAGATAAATATAACAGATAAATACACCATTTTTTTAATGATAGAATGTAATTTTCATACACACATCACTAGTACTTTCTTAGTATGAGGTCTTACATTTGTTCTGATAAAGCTCAAAATCATCCTGTAACTGTTTAGGAAAGCTCAAATTTGATCAAATGAGTAAACTATTTTGATAAGAGTTTTCTTATTGATTAGTATCTGATTTTCAATAATTTTGACAAACCTACATTGCAGTAATATTGTCAAATATTTATTATCCAATTAATCCTAAAATATAAACATTTGTCTGTAACTTCCACTTCACTCCCATAATCCATCAGGAACTTAGACTCACTGCAGCACTTCAGATCACTACTAAAAACCTGCATAGAAAACGTAAATACATAGATATAATACAATAACTATCTAACTAAATAAATAAATAAATACTTCTTTCCTATAACAATAAAGAAAAATAAATGTCACATTTTACGTGTGTCCAAAAAAGGAGTGGGAGGAAGTAAATACTGGGAAGGAAATACTGTTCAATCTGGTATTAACCTCCTTGATTTCACCTCCATTTTCTACAGTTTTTCTGTTTGTAAAGCATCTTTGAGTGTTTAAAAAGTGCTATATAAGTCTAATGTATTATTATTAAAGGTGCATTGTGTAATTTTTCCTGTGGAGGTGTTATTGATTTGTCTGGAATGTTTCACAGTATGGCATTAAACCTTTCTGTCTTCATGGAGACCAAACCAGACCAAGTTACAGGTCAGATCTGTGGAGAGGCGACCCCACTCACAGTCAGAATGTCTGTTTTTCTAGGTATATTTGAGTTATAAAACCACCTGTAATTGAATAAATGTAAAGTAGAGCTGTTTAATGTCATACTGTGGAACATTCCAGGCAGAACAATGACATATTTATAGAAACAAGTAGGTGACACACCTCCAAGTGAAAAGTTACACAGTGCAGCTTTAACTGTGGGTGATATAGATGTAAAGTATTCTGGTGTGCTCCTCAGGTGTGCTGTCTGTTCCTGTTCATTGCGATGGGCATCTTCACCTTCTCTGCTCTGATGCACTCAGTGGAGACAGACCAGCCCGGGACTCCCTTCAGCAGCATCCCCGAAACCTGGTGGTGGGCCGCGGTGAGTAAGGACACGTCAAATCAGATGTTTTATTTTTTAAAATAGTAAATGGTCATTTTTATAAAGCGCTTTTCCACCTTCACTCAGACTCAGAGCGCTTTACAACAAAGAACCATTGAGATGTTATTGCTTTGTCTGGAATGTTTCACACTACAGCATTAAACATTTCTTTCTTCATGGAGACCAAACCAGACCAAGTTACAGGTCAGGTTTGTGGAGAGGCGACCCCACTCACAGTTAATCTGGTTTTCTAGGGATTTCTAGGAAGTTATAAAACCACTGGTAGATAAATGTAAGGTAGAGCAGATTATTGTCACACTGTGGAACATTCCAGGCAGAGCAATGACATCTCCATAGAAACACACAGGTGACAGACCCAAAATAAAAAAATGACATAGTGCATCTTTAATTTGTTACCGATAAAAGTAGTAATAGAGAGATGGTTTGGGTGACAGTGGCTCAGTGGTTTGTTACGGCTCCAGGCCTGCACTTCCTTGAGTTTTGTGTGTGTTTTCATTTCTTACTGTTCTCCTGGAGTCCTGCCGTGAGAGCCCTGGTCCCTGATTGGTTTATCACCTCTACACGTGGTCAATCCTGCCTCACCTCCTGCCTCCTCCCCTTATTTAAGAACATTGCCAGCACCTGTTTGATCCTGCTGGCCTTGGTGACCAATATGCCATTTTGTGTTTGTGTTTGTGTGTGTGTGTGTGTGTGTGTGTGTGTGTGTGTGTGTGTGTGTGTGTGTGTGTGTGTGTGTGTGTGTGTGTGTAGTTCTGTAGTTTAGTTCTGTTTTGTGCCTCTTTTTAATTTGGTCACCCGATTCTGTTTGTGGTCTTATGAGGTTTAATTTTGGTAACTTGTGGTTTAATTTTGTGTGTCCCTTAGTTTTACCACTTGTTTTGTGTAAGCCTGCGTAACCCGTTTTGTTTCTTAGTTGAGAATATTTTCTGTATATATTTTAGTCTGTTTTGTTAATTTACTTTTACATTCCTGTTGATTAAACATTACTTTATTTATTCAATTTTTCCACCTTGGTTTATTTTTGTTAACCCTAGACCCATTGCTCTTGTGGCGAAGGTAAATGTCAGTTTTCCGTCTTCAATGAGTGATCACAAATGCAAAACAAACTGTGAAACATACGTAAAGAAGTTTGTGATTCTGTGTGTTGTATTTTTACAATATAACTTAAATACAACTCGATGTAAAAGTACTCCAAGTACTCAGAACACAGTACTCTGATTGGACCATGTATCAAAATGCGTCACAAAATATGTTTTAAAGGGGCATTGTGTAACTTTTCTGGTGGAGGGTCCATCAAATGCTTTTCTCCATAGAGATGTTATCACTATGTCTGGAATGTTTCACAGTATGGCATTAAAACCTTTCTATCTTTTCAACTACAAAACCACCTGTATCGCAATACATGTAAGGTTAATCTATTTAATGTCACACTGTGGAACATTCCAGGCAGAGCAATGACATCTCCATAGAAACAAGCAGGTGACAGACCCCCAACCAAAAAGCTGGAGACAGGTTAATGGTCAGATCTATGGAGAAGCAAGCCTGCACATGATAAGAAATCATGTTTTTTAAGATTTTTTTAAGGTACAAAACCCCTGTAATTAAACAAATGCAAGGGAGAAATAACATCTCCATGGAGACAAGAAAATAGTGGACCTAGAAATGGTTAGTGAATAGTGAATAGTGAATAGTGAATAGTGAATAGGTCAGGTGTAACTAAACAAGTTTCCTTTCTCTGAACAAACATCAAAGTTGTAGCACTGTCACAAAATAATTGAGTAAAATATATTTTTAAAAGCTCATATATAGTATTACGATATATCGATATTTTGATATTTTAACACCCTACTTTGCACTAGTGTGTTCACATAAAACTTTATGGGTTTTCTTCAGGCAGCAGGTCAGCCAAAACGTAAAGGTGCATTATGTAACTTTTTGATTGGAGTCTGTCACCTTCTTGTTTCTATGGAGATGTCATTGCTCTGCATGGAATGTTCCACAGTGTGACATTAAACAGCTCTACCTTACATTTATTCAATTACAGGTGACTTTATTGCTCCAAAATTCCCCAAACAGCGGTCTCCAACCTTTTTCCTACTGTGAGCTACTTTTTGTAAAACGAAAATGCCAGAGAGCTACTAATTTTAGCTGTTGTCAGAAATTTTGTATATACAAGAGCCATGGTGTGCCGAACATGAGGTACAGTTAGAGTCTATAAAACATAACCCACTATCAGTTATCGGTGTACAAATTTAGGCATCAAAATGATACATTTACAAAGGAACTAAGCATTTAATCTATCAAATGTGAGTTATTCAGCGCAAAATGTATAATTCAGAAATCCTTTGGTGAGTGACTTGGAAAGGGGTGGAGAGCTACTCCAGCTCAGTTGGTAGAACGCTCGTTCCTGATCTGATCGATCTGAAGGTTGGTGTTTGAATCCCGATCTTGACATAAAAGAACATCATTGGTTGAGCAGTCAGATCCACTGACCCACAGATGAATGTGTTGTCGTGTCCTTGGGCAAGACACTTAGCCCACTTTGAGTGAATGCGTGAGTGGTTCCTTGTTGTAGAGTGCCTTGAAGGTGGTAAAGCGCTGTAGAAAAATGTGACCATTTACCATAGTAGCTCCTGAGGTACAGGTTGGAGACCCCTGATTTAGAAGACATTCTGACTGGGAGGGTGTGCGAGTGTGTCCCTCTCCATAGATCTGATCTGTAATTTGGCCTGATTTGGTCTCCATGATGACAGAAAGGTTTAAAGCCACACTGTGAAATATTTCTGACAAGCAATAATATCTCCATAGAGAAAAGCGTTTAACAGACCCTCCACTGGAAAAGTTACACAATACACCTTTAAGCCTGGCCTGTGCTTGAGCTGTTTGTTTCTGTGTTATCATGAGAAAAATCTGAGTGTTTTATCATGTGACCATCAGCACAAGTGTCAGCCCATGTGTTTGTCATTAACACTGGTTTAATAGACTGTGCAGCTGTGATCTGGAGAGTCTAATCCTGTGTAATGCTCTGTAATACCCAAACTCATCTCAGGACAAACCAACTATGGGAAGACTTAAAGACCACATATATTTCCTCATGTGTTCTGATGTTGTTTCCTCATCACACACAGACCTGGACTTGTGTTGTGTTTTGTTTCCTTCACACATGTTTAACTCTGCATATTTAATCTGAGTTCTCTTAAACTAAAAACACTCTGTTCCAGCTTGTGATGTCATGTGGTAATACAAGAAGTGCTCCACTGTGTTTTTAAACCCCATACGCCTTAACTAGAATCATCTGGATGATTTCAGCCCTGTCAATTGCTACTAAAAGGTCAAATGTAGCTGTTAAAGGTGCATTGTGTAACTTTTCTAGTGGTCCAGCAAATGCTTTTCTCCATGGAGATGTTTCATAGTATGGTATTAAACCTTTCTATCTTCATGGAGACCAAACTCGACCAAGCTACGGGTCAGATCTGTGGAGAGGGACACACTCACACACGCTCACAGTCAGAATGTCTGTTTTTCTAGGTATTTTTGAAGTATAAATCCACCTGTAATTGAATAAATGTAAAGTAGAACTGTTTAATGTCATACTATGGAACATTCCAGACAGAGCAATGACATCTCCTTAGAAACAAGCAGGTGACAGACCCCAAACCACAAAGTTACACAATGCACCTTTAACTTAAAAACTACCGCTTCACGACATCACAAGGTGGAACAGAGCATTTTCAGCTTTGGAGATGTAAACAGACTAATAACAAACAATTACTCAAACAAAACAGAACTCGAGGTCTGTTGTTGAGGAGGGAACAACATTCTAACGTGGCTTAAAGCTCACAAGAGTCCATTTTGTGTAATGTAGGAACTTTAAAGGGACAGTTCAGAATTTTGGACATAGGGCCTCATTTCCTCATGATCCAGAGTGTTGGAGACGTGTGGAGACACTTTTTGAAATCTTCCATCCAGTCCTTGTATTTGCAGAGGTCACTGGTGTTAGACTAGTGCATGTCAATGGTCATAGTTCTCCTGCCACTAAAAACAGTCTTACCCACTCCACAAAACACCTGAAATAAACTATTATTACACCAGACTGTCCATGTGCATGTCTGTGTTGATAGAATAATTTTAAAAGTAAAACCAACTTTGCATTTGAAGGATTTATGCAGTGAGTTGTTCTTCCTGATAGAAAGCTTCGGCAGCGGTGGAATGATATATGAGAAAATAGTCCCTCAACATGCGACGATTCATGAGATGCTAGTCTAACACCTGTGACCTCTGCAAATACAAGGACTGGATGGAATAATAAATGAGGCCCTATGTCCAAAATTCTGAACTGTTCCTTTAAATACTGCATGCAAAGCAGAAGTATGCATTGTGTCATCACTGGTGTAGTGTTGGTACAATACTAAAATTTCAAACTCAATTTCAATACTAAGGAATAGACTCGATACTCAATACCTATTCCAATACCACAAGGATAATAAAAAAACAACAACACTTTTTTACACAATAGAATGTGATTTTCAACATTAAATCATAGTACTTTATTTTCTATTTCCATGTGTGTTATATGTGTGTAATGGTCAGTGGTGCAGTAGGTTCATGTTGGTCCATGTGTGTGTACTAGTCTATGTGCTCTGACACTTGTTCTGATACAACATCATTCTAAAGTACGGGTCTCCAACCTTTTTTCTCCAGTGAGCTACTTTTACAAAACAAAAATGCCAAAGAGCTGCTAGTTTTATCACTCACAAGAAATGTAATAATATAAGAGCCTTTGATGAGGTAAAGTTAGATGCCTGTAAAACATAAACCATTATTCACTTATTAGTCTTCAAATTTAGGCATCAAAATGACATGTACAATGGTAACAGGCATATAATTTTCAAATCTGATAACACTTTAGTTTAGTTAAGGGACCACATATTAATAACTAACTAAGTGGTAATTGTTATACTAATAAGCTGTTTATTAGCTATTAGTTGGTATTAATCAAACATTTAATAATGCTTATTAAGAGTTCAGTCTATGCACAAAAACATCTATTGTAATCTCCACTAATTTAATTGGAAGAAAATAGTTAATAAATTAGTGCAAAATACGGCCTTAGACACAAATGTATTGAAAGCACTTTATAAATAGCAACAAAGATGTAATTAAGCACTTATTATGCATTTTACTATGAACTAGCTATTACCATATTTTCCGGGCTATTAGTCGCTCTGGATTATAAGGCGCACTGTCATTAAATGGTCTATTTTCGAACTTTTTTCACAAATAAACCACACCAGACTTTAAATGAAACCCAACAGTGTGATGGGTGAGTGGTTTTGTTTGTTTGTGGCGTTCACGGTGACTCTGGGCTTTGTTCAGTTGTGGCGTGTAGGGAGGGTGTGTCTGGGATCAACGGATTGTCGGCGTGTTCGTAGTGACTCAGTTGTTCAGTTGTGTCTAGAAGTGACACATTGCACTCGCTTTTTCAGTTCGTTCCTCCATTCCGTTCCTCGTCAGTGTGGAGTGATGAGTGTGTCTGTGGGTGTGTTTGGCTGTGTGGTCTCTGTCTGCTCCGTGTGTGTTTGTGTGTTCTGCGGGTGGTGTGGTTTGTAGTTTACTGAAGTCGTGCTGGGACACCTGAGTGGATTCATGTATAGGGCGCTCTGGATTGTGGGGCGCAGTCGTTTTTTTGATGGAGTTGGAGGCTTAAGAGCGCGTCTAATAACCCGGAAAATACGGTAATATGTGGTCCCTAATCTAAAGTGTTACCTCAAAGTTTACTTATTCAGCACAATACGTGTAACTCAGAAATCCTTGTGGAAGCTACTTGGAAGGGAGTGGAGAGCTACTGGTAACTCCTGAGCTACAGGTTGGAGACTCCTGTTCTAAAGCGATTCAAGAAAGCTTCAATTCTGTCTTGTGAATGGGACTTTTTTAGTATCAATACTTGCTCAAAGAAGTATCTAGTTTCTATACTGGTTTTGGTCTCGATTCGCATCTGATTTTTGATATTTTTGTCCTTTATGTCAGTATTAAGTAATATTATAAAGGTACACATAAGAAAGCGGTTACCTAGTTTCTATTTTAAACACTTATCCAACCCTAATTACAGGCTTAGTCTAAAACAGCACCAACTCACTAACCAACCCAGCCCCAAATCCAGGAAAACTCTCTGCAGGCTCATGATCATTTGTTGGATGTTGTTTGGCTTTTGATGTTCTGTAAAGCTGCACATTAACACATCTACCTTACATTTATTCAATTAGAGGTGGTTTTATAGCTCAAAAATACCTAGAAACACAGACATTCTGATTGTGAGCGGGGATCTGATCTGTAACTACATCTAGTTTTGTCTCCATGAAGATAGAAAAGTTTATACCATACTGTGAAACATTCCAGACAAAGGGATGTCCATGGAGAAAAGCATTTGATTCGTCTGATTCATCAGCCAGTTTCAATTCGTAGAAATGTCTGACCTCGCAGTATTAGAGTCCGTTCCCTCGACAGTAGACAGGTACTTTTTTCATTTAACCAGTTGCTTCTATTTGGTCGTGATGTATGTAATGCGCCGCTAATGGAGTTAACTGGTATATTAAGCTTTTCCCAAATCCTGTAGGAAGAAGGACAATAACGTCTTTCCCCTTGATAAAATTCACCAAACATTCTCTTTGTTCCAGCTTTAAATCCACAATCTCGATTGAACTGACAACACCGAATGTCTGTCTCTTCTCTGATTGACTGATGCCTGAACTTGCACTTCTGGGGTTTTTGCAAACCATCTAGTGTATTCTGATTCCTGACCTAGTCTCTGAAGAGAAATGAAATTGAGCGATGCACTAGGTGGTGCCAGTTACACAATGCGCCTTCATAGCTCCTGTTTTTTTAAGCAAAAATAGGCTAAGGTAAAAAAAAAAAAAGCATTTTAGGTTTTTATTGTATTGCATTGTGCAACTTTTCTGGTGGAGGATCTTTTTCACTTGCTTGTCATTCAGAATCCACTCAAAATTGACACATCCTCAACGTGCCTGACTCTCTCTCTCTATCTTCTCATTCCCAGGTGAGCATCTCCACGGTGGGTTACGGTGACGTTGTTCCTGTCTCCTACCTGGGCCGATGCGTCGCCTTTGGGTGCATCTCCTTCGGGATCATCCTGAACGGCATGCCCATCTCCATCCTCTTTAACAAGTTCTCTGACTACTACGCCAAGCTGAAGGAGCAAGAGTACACCTACTCCAACACCGAGCGCACCTTCCAGCTCCGCAAACGCATGAAGAGGAGGTTCCAGAGCTGCCTGGAGACCCCGGCTTTGGACGATTCACGAAGAAACGCACTACAGGCCCACTGTCAAGCACACGCTGCAGATCGCCAAGGACTGAGCAGATAGGGAGCAGTGATCGACTCTTTTGAACAGTTCCTTAAAGTTCCTATATGATGCACAATTGTCTCTTGTGAGGTTTAAGCCATGTTAGAATGTTACCTCATCAAAAACATATTGAGTAACCCTTTATTATTAGTCTGTCTACATCTCCAAAGCTCAAAACGCTCTGTTCCACCTTGTGATGTCATGAAGTGCCAGTAACTTTTACCTTATTCTAGTGAAGATGTGTGGAGTGTTTGACAGAAGAACTCAGCCTAAATCTGCAGGGGCTTGTATGTTAAACATGTTAGACTGACACCTTCTCTCAAACTGAAAACACTGTGTTCCACCTCATGACATCATGTGGTAATACAGGAAGTGCTCCACTTGTTTTTAAACTCCATTCACCTTCATTAGAATCATTTGGATAACTTCAGCCCTGGAATTGGAGCTGTTAAAACTTGGAAACTCATCATAAGGTGAAACAGAACATGTAGACAGACTAATAATAGAGAGTTACTCAAACATGTGAATGAAACAAACACAACTCAAGTGTTTTTAAGAAGGTAACATTAGAACATAACTTAAAGCTCACAAGAATCAGTTTTGTGTAATATAGGACCTTTAAAGTGAACTCACTCTCATTTTTTAAAAGGAACCAAATCTTTTTTTTTTTTTTTTTTTTTTTAACAATTTTTATACATTTTTATCCCGATGAATGAAGGGGCAACATGAGTGAGATGAACCCTTCTGAGCCCTCGCTCCTGTTTCCTCTGCGGTTTCTGAGCTCTGAGACAGCACTTAAAGTGTGTCTGACAGATATTTATCATTCTCTAATTTTAGACTTAATTTGGTGGGATTGTAACTATTGTAAATGTAAATTATAGTTTCAAATCAACCAGGAAGAATTTGTGAAGAGGGTTGAAAAATGTGTTGAAAATGACAGGAAACAAAGAGTTCCAACATATAAATCATACTCTTATATCATAGTCAGGAGAATTCTATCCAAAAATTAACATTTTACATTTAATGAATTCATTTATTTATTTATTGACATTTTTATGTTTACATTTACATTTTCTTATATTTTTATTTGTCTATTAATAATCTCTGTGTACAGAAGTGAGAATATTTGGCCCATTTGACTCTATGGTTGCTGGGTAAAATGGCCGGACTGGGAGTTAATTTTTTTAAATCTTTTCATGTCACAGGTACTTTAAGTCCCTGAGTGTGTGCGGGGGAGTGAGTAAGCTGTAAGCCTGAGCCTGCTGAAGTGCTATTAGCATGCCAAGTTTACCTGACCAGCCAGAACCACACACTTTAATCTGAACAAAACTTCACAAAGACGAGCAGATCTGGACTGCATCTCCTTTCTCTTTCCTGACTTCCTTCTCCTTGATTCCTCTCCTCAATCCTCCATTTTTCAGATGTCAGTCATATTAAATGGTGTCCCAAAGAAAACCTCAGAGTGAAGGAAGTAAACATGAGGGAGGTTTCAGAAGCAGACATCAGAGCAAAGAATGTGTGAGGAGTTTAGATCCTCTCTCCTCCGTGTCTCCTCTGTGGGCTGGACTTCCTCACCCATTTCCTACAGAATCGAGGAGAGGAATCAAGGAGAAGGAAGTGAGGAAAGCTAAGTGTGAAAACTCCTGACAAAGTGAGACTAAAAATAGGACCAGACACCTTCGCACAACAGCAGATCACCACACGCACTGACACTGTGTGTGAGACTGTGCTCTGGAAGTGCTTTAAGACAACTGATACTTTGCCGTGACATCATGCTGGGGGTATTCTACATGCATCACTCTTGAAGGAATCTTCAGCACATAGACTGTACATATAAATGGATAGAACTAACACCCTAGCTGCCACATTCCAGACAGGAAGTTCACATGCGGCTCTTCCGGCTCCTTCTGACCTTGGCTCCTATTGACTTACATTAGAATATTGTGGCTCCTCTGTCTGTACCTGCTGCTGTGAGCCTCATCATTTTGGTTTTAAAATGTTCATATTAACCCACTCTACATGATCCTGCTGTTTTGTCCATAAAAAAATCCTATTCCTAATATAGAGCCTGGTTCCAAATTCCCTCCTGTAACAGTGAGCATCACGAGCTTCATTTGAGCGACGCTGAACTCTGTGGTGACGTCACACTCACTTAATCCACTTCTTTATACAGTCTGTGGTTCAGCACTTACACGGTGACACAATGCACACATTAACAAACACAGATGAAAAAAGTTTTAAGCCTGTCTAAAAACTTATGAAGACAAAAATACAAAGTGGATTGACAGAGCACATTTTCAGGAGCCTGGGGTCATTTGAGGTTCTTGGTTCTGTCCAGTGCTAACGAGCTTTATACTTGTTTAACCAGTCAGCTCTTTCTGGTCAGATTGTGTTAAAATAAATTATAGATTAAAGTTTTAACTTGAGTAACAGAGCTGCAGACAGAGCAGTGCTTTCAGTTAGTTCCACACCCCCAGAGAATGTTGATGAAATCAGCTGCAAAGTATCAGTATGATCTGTTCTTTGTAAATATGTGTATGTTGTTTGTTTATCAGTGAAAAATGACAAAATAAAAATATAAAGTGTACAGAAGTGTTTTTTGTTTATATATTTTACAATGCCGTTTTGGAACTATGGAAGATCATTTTATATCATTTCTCACTTTGAAACAGTTTTTAAAGGTGCACTGTGTAACTTGTCTACTGGAAACAAGCCAAATTACAAGTTAGATTTGTGGAGAGGCATGCCCACTCACAGTAAGAATGGATGCTTTTTAAGATTTTTTTTTTTTTTTTTCAGCTATAAATAATCCCTGTAGTGGAATAAATGCAAGACAGATGATTTTAATACAATTAAAAACAAAGCATTAACATCTCCATGGAGACAAACAGGTTGCAGACCCCCTTTGCAGCAAAGATCCAAGGTATTAAGGCAAAATAAATGTGTGACTGCTTTTGCATTCAGAGGCAGGTTCGCTCCATACTGGCCTTTTCCAACATGTTTATAGAGTTCAAAAATGTATAGTGAGAAATTCAGTGGTTTAAAAATCTGATGGAACAAATGATCTCTCATAAGCAAGTTTCACTCAGGAAACTATTCATGTCAAAACCATGAATGTCCATGTGATTAAGATTGTACAGAAGTGCTCTGACAGCTTCTTAAAAAAGCACAATCCTTTAAGTTCATATAAAGGTCCTGTTAGTAGGACAAAACTTTTGTTCAGTAGAAATGAGCATCTCCAGGACTGAAATCATCCAGATGATTCTAGTGAAGGTGTATGGAGTTTAAAAACACAGTGGAGCACTTCCTGAGTGTTTTCTGTTTGAGAGAAGAACTCAGTCTAAATATGCAGGGTTTGTGTGAATGAAACAAAACACAACTGCAGGTGTGTTTGTGATGAGGAATGACATTAGAACAGATCAGAAAACAGTGTAACACGGGCCCTTTAAAGTTGCACTATGTAACTTTTATGGTGGGGATCCACCCCCTGCTTGTCTCCATGGAGATGGTATGGTATTCATCAGATCTATCTAGAATTTAGTTACTGAATTTGGTGTTTTAATTGCTAAAAAAAAACTGTGAGTGGGATCACCTCTCCACAGATCTGACCTGTAAGTGACCTGATTGCTTCACCTCACGGGGTTGATGTATTTTGTGCTATACTGTGGAACTTTCCAGGCAAAATAAAACAAAACATCTCCATGGAGACAGGCAGGTAGGAGGCACACCTGCTTCTGCTACTTCACCTAACAACTGAACTTTCAAAGATTCTGCTTTGTTGAATCAATCAAACCTGCACTTCCTCTTAGAACATTGAGGTTTTTTGTTGCTTTATTAACACATCACATTATTTAACATATGGCTCATAGACTAACATATGGCACACATACATAAACATATTTTTCAAGCTCCTTTTGGCACTGATCATTTGTAGTGGTCGAGTCATGATCCCCATAGACACACGATCGAGGTTAGAAGAGCAGGATTAGTGGATTAGTGCTGCTCAGGTCACACAGGGAAGAGTCAATTATGTGCAGGCTACTTTCAGCACTCCACTCCTATATATATATATATATATATATATATATATATATATATATATATATATATATATATATATATATACTGTATATAAACTGATGAGCAGATTGAAAGGCCAATAGTTTTAAAACTTTACAACAAACATTACAATTTTCAAAGTACAAATATGACTTAATTAGCTTCTCTGTTAAGAGGGATGGAAAAATATAATTTGCTAACCTCAGAGTTGTATTTGAGTCTATGAAGTACAGCCAATCACAAATCTGCTTTAGGAATGAAGCTGAGTCGTTCCTGCCGCTGCATTCACAGCTCGTCCCTGCCTCAATTTCTCTACTCCCAGAGCAGTTTTTACACTTGTTTTGATTTCACTTCATTATTTTGAAGTACTCTTTCAGCCTCTAGGGGCCCAGAATGTTGAGTGAATGAATGTTGTTGTTGAAAAGTGAGCAGCAAGGAGCAGTGGCTCTACTCCGAGCTCCTTCTGTGACTGAGCTCATCATCCAGTCTTTAAGGGAGTGCTCAGCCAGTCTGGAGGAAACTCATGTGGACCACTTGTATCTGTAATCTTGTCCTTTCAGTCATTAAAACTCAGGAACCAGGTGAGAGGAGGAACATACTGACCACTAAACCAAGAGCTTGGCCAAAACCACGTCCATCCTAATTCCATCCTAATTCAATCATAAGTGAGAGACATGGTGACAGTGGAAGGGATGGTGTACCGTCTATAGATGGAGGGTGTACATGGATCCATCTCATGAATCGTCACATGTTGAGGGATTATTTTCTCATATATGAGTCCGCCGCTGCCGAGCTTTCTATCAGGAAGAACAACTCACTGCATAAATCCTTCAAATGCATTATTTGCATAATACATTTATTTCAAAAATGATTCTATCAACACAGACATTGACATGGACAGTCTGGTGTAATAATAGATTTGTTTGGGGTGTTTTGTGGAGTGGGTATTTAGTGGCAGGAGAACTATGACCATTGACATGCACTAGTCTAACACCAGTGACCTCTGCAAATACAAGGACTGGATGGAAGATTTCAAAAAAAGTGTCTCCATATGTCTCCAACACTCTGGATCACTAGGAATTGAGGCCCTATGTCCAAAATTTCTTTCTTCTTTAAATCCAGTTGCGTTTGCCACTGTACATGTTTTAGACTTAGACTTTACTGATCCACAACAGAAATGATTTGGACACAGGAGCTCACACATCACAATAGAATATAATAACAAAGAGAAAAAACATGAATGGTAACAATAAATTCTAAATAAGTAGCAAAAAAGACAGTGAGAGCCTGGTGTCAAAAAAGACATAATTATATATAACCACATCAGTCATAATTGAATCATAATGATAAGTGAGAGCTGTAGTGACGATGTTAGTGAGGGAGCACAGTCTGTACATGGAGTGTGTATATGGATCCATCAGCATGCTGCTTGGAGTCCCCACAGAGTTACACTACAGGAGGGGGCCTGGTGCCTGCAGGAGCCAGGGCCTGTATCAGTGCTTGCAGTTTTAACATTTACTTACTACTTTATTTAACCTTTGGTCCTGAGGTTTGTTCCAGTTTATGCCCAGTTGAATGTGGTAGACATGTTTTAGTCCTGTCTTAGACCTGGGGTTACATGCAAGCATTTGTCTGTGTGTGTGTATTTTGTACTGCTGTCTCCTCTGCCCTGTCTTCCGTGTTCAGGTGCTGTGGGCTGGACCTGACTGGAGCTCTGATTGGCCAGCTAGCAGCCAATCAGGTTGGAGAGGACCATTTAAAAGGAGCTGTGTACGGCTGTTCTCTGTCTCTCTGTGTAATGCTGCTACCTCTGTTAGCCAGATATTGTTAGGTTGGGAGGTTGGTTAGGTAAGCTGGGGATCCCTATACACTAGTGATGGTGAGATGAAGCCTCATGAGGCAATGAACCACTTGAGCCAATTGGTTCAAGAAAGGTTCATTTCTTGAAGCGGCATGTGTGCACGACACCACCTACTGGCCAAGTGTATAATCACAGGCAGCTGTATCTGAACCACATAGTGTGTGATGCACTGAATTTCTCTGTCTGTTATGTCTGTTGGGAATGATTATGAATTGCAAAAAATATATGACCAAATAATTTCTGTACATTATCACATATGTATAATAAATTGTATTCTGTATTCTGTGTATGTATTTTGTGTGTGTATATTTTCCCAAAATGGCAACATCATAATATGGCAGGTTAGGCTGTTTTTTCTGAAAATGGCAGGGGCGTAATCAGGCAGAGGACAGTGAAAGTGTTTATGGAACTAGGAAAAGGGCACAGATTATGCTTGTGTAACTTTGACAGTGATGTACAGGACAGGGGAAATTTCATTCATTTTTATTCAGAAACAAGAGCTTCTCAACAGTTTTTGGTTTTAAACGATTTATTTATTTATTTATTTTATTTTTTGACACAAACTCTCCAGCCTTGGAGATATAAACGCTATCCAAACTCTAGTATCCAAACTCTCTAAACTCTATTCAAACTGAATGGAGCCTGAGGGTTTATATCGCTGTAAGAGCTCACGGCAAAATCTGAAGCACTTCCCAAAGCAATCACGTGGTACAGCCGGGCAGCGAGGCTTCAGACGTCATCATTTTTGACTCCTCCCCCAAATGAAACGAGCCTCGATACGCACTTCACAGAAACACCCCCTTCATTACTCGAAGCCTCAGCGCACCTCGTAATATCACTACTATACACCTTGCATCATGTAGTTTTTCTTTGTTAGACACTAGTTTATCAGTTTATCAGTTGTTACCACCCTTGTTGTTTTGAAGTAACCAAGTCTCCTTTTTAGATCAGATAGGCTAGGCTTTTTGATTTCTTTACTTCTGTAGCCTAGTTTTCAGTTAGGGCCTGTTTTGTTATGTTTTTGGTTCTTTTATTTGGCACAACTGGCACACGCCTCCTCCCACCAACCTTTGTTTGTTTTCTGTATACATATTGGTGAATGTTTGGCCTCAAAATAAAAAAAATGCCAAACCTACTTTGCCTCAATGATTGTTTTATAATTGTTGTGTCCCTTGTTGGATATAAGGGACATAACACCTGGTTAGTCTTAATGGAGGTGGTGTTTTGTGTGAAAAGCGCCACATGTTCTAGTTGGTCGTGAGTGACTTCTTTCCATTTTAATGTTGATGGTTATTGGCTAAAAAGAACCAATTCTTACTCAGTTTTACATTTAGTCTTCAGAGTCAAATTATTTTTCTTTCAGTCAAATAATTCTTTTTAGTCTCCAAAATGTCACTGTACTTCTGTCAGCTGAATCCATCATATAGTTAGTTTTTATTTGTCAATAAAACAGTGATTTCAGTAATACAGTCAGCAGTCATCTCTACTTTTTCCTCAGATGTAGTCAACAAAAAAGTGTCATTGAGGAAAAACAAACAATATTTTAGTGAAGCAACACAGTCCCATAGAAGTGAGCCCACAACATTACATAACCATGTCATACTTGACCTCTGTCCCCTCATTACCTCAGCCCAGTGGCCTCGACATTTTAATTTGTTTCTCGTTGGATGCGGTTCCTCCCACTGTGTTCAGATAAGCAGCCATAAGCAGTGAGACAAGGAGAAGACATCATATCTGAGTTATGTAACCAGTCTGGGCAAATGCACGGCAAAAATGTAAGAAATTTAAGTGGAGTAACAAGAGGAAGTCAAAGGGTTTTATGTTATGACGGACCAATGCTCAACTTAATCTAAATCCACTTTGTTTCTACAGCACATTTTACAAACAGAGCAGTTTCCAAAGTGCTGCACACAGATCAGAAAATGAAGACAACAAAACATTAACTGCTAAAATTTGGTCATAGCAGTCCAAAATAATAAACCAGTCAAATCAAATAAAAGCAAAAGCATAAAAATCTGAAAATAGCAGTAAATAAGTAAAATGAATAAAAGACACAGAGGAGCACACAATTCTCGCAGTGTTAAAAGCCAAAGAGTAAAAGTGGTACTGACCATTGACATGCACTAGTCTAACACCAGTGACCTCTGCAAATACAAGAACTGGATGGAAGATTTCAAAAAATGTCTCCACACGTCTCCAACACTCTGGATCACAAGGAAATTAGGCCCTATGTCCAAAATTCTGATTGGTTTCTTTAAATTCAGTTGCATTTGCCACTGCACATGTTTTAGACTTAGACAAACTTTACTGATCCACAACAGAAATGATTTGGACACAGTAGCTCACACATCACAATAGAATATAATAACAAAGAGAAAAAATTATATAAATGGTAAGAATAAATTCTAAATAAGCAGCAAAAAAGACAGCGTGAGACAAGTGTCTCACGCTGTTTATTACCATTTTATACAAATGTAAATGTACAAGTCAGAATAAAACAGAAAGATAATTATCGTATTTTTCGGACTATAAGTCACACTTTTTTTCATGGTTTGGGTGTTTCCTGTGACTTATACTCCGGTACAAAAGGGCGCTCTAGACTTGTGTGTCAGTATCTGCTACTACTGTAACACTGTCACTTCACGCTCTACTGTGCACGTCTCCTGCAGAAAAAGCCAATGTCCTGCTGCAAATAGTGAAATATTCAGCAGAAAATGGTAATTGAGCAGCAGAAAGACAGTTTGGAGTGAGCGAGAAACTTATGAGGGGCTGGTGGAAAGTGGAGGATGCACCATGTGACTTTCCTCGAAGTCACTGAATGAATCGACAAAGCCTGAACTTCAGTGACAACAGAAACGGAACTGATGCTGAGTCTGACGACAGCTACACAGAAGAGGAAGCGGCCTCCGTTTACCTCATGGATCCACGGTTAGCCTCCAGAGGCTGAGCAGAAGTGACACAGAGGATGAAGAATTCAATGGATTTAGTGATTTGGAGTGAGATCGTGAGTTTGGTAAACTTGTTGTTTTGTTTATGCTCTAGTTATCTGAATAATTGTTAATATGTTACATTGACATATGGGCCTGTTCAGCCTGTTGTTCTCTCTTCTGTTGTTATTACTGTAACTTGCCTTTCAAGATGAAAGGTCGGTTCCTGGTCTCTGATTTTATAAAATACATTTATCCAAAAATATGACTTATTTATGTTTTTTCTTCTTCATTATGCATTTTTTGGCTGGTGCAACTTACTCCAGAGCGACTTATAGTCCGAAAAATACAGTAAGACAAAAGTATAAAATCTCAAGAGGAAGACAGTGCAACAATAGAAATAGAAATAGAAAGCCTTTATTGTCATTATACAGTATAATGAAATTCAGAGGGATATAAACAGTGATATGATAATTGACAGGACATAGGGTTATCTGTTACATGCACTACATTCCATATTAGAAATGAAAACATGTTTGTTTGTGATTCCTGGACGTCTGGCCAAAGCCCTCCTCCTTCTTCATGACCAAACACTATCACCATAATGTTCTTCCTGTTACGCACACCTGCATGTTTTGGAGCAGAAGTCATGTCTGCTGTAATCTAAATGAGCTCTTCATCCTTGACGGACCAGGGTCAGGACATACTTTTCCCTCGCCAAGGCTGACCATCACGAGAAGAATCTGTCTCCTCAGCACTTGTGGCCCGCTATAAAATGTCGGGAGCTGCGGTGACCCTCCAGCTCATTCTCTCGAGGCTGTACCCGCTCACAGTGAAGCATGTCTGGGCTTGATCGGGTGCTGTGTCTGCTGGTGGTGGGCCTGGCGGTGCAGGGTGTGGTTGTGGAGGTGGAGGGGCAGGAGAGCATTAAGATGTGTGGGAGAGATCTGATCCGTCACGCCGTGTCCTACTGCGGCAACTCCAGGCTGAGGAGGGCCGTGTTCACGCTGGAGGAGCCACAGCGGACAGGTAAGAAGAAATCATCATGAGCAGGGCTGACTGGATACTTGTGACATCACGCTGGGGGTGTTCTACATGTACGTCTATGGTGGAATGTTCGGCAGTTACTGTGGAGACAAAATTTTATGTTTTTTTAGTCTGAAAATGCAAGAGAAAACACAAAATGGATTTAAACAGCACATTTTCAGGAGCCTGTGATCAATACAAACATTCACAGTTCTGTTGATGTGTTTGACTTCAATAAGACTGAGAGGCAAAAAAAAAAAAAAAAAAGAAATTGAATTTTTTGGAAACACTAATGTTTGCTATGGTACTTTAAACGGTCCTATATTTCACAAAACTGACTCTTGGGAGCTTTAAGTCATGACAGAATGTTTACTTTGAAAAAAAAAAAAACATACCTGAAGTTGTTTTTTTGTTTCATTCACACATTTGAGTCACCCTTTATTATGAGTCTGTTTACATCTCCAAGGTCCAAATGCTCTGTTCCACCTTGTGATGTCATTATGTATTCGTTTTCAAGTGTCTTTTTACCTTTAGTTCAGTAGAGTTTGGCAATTCCAGGGCTGAAATGATCCAAATGATTCTAGTGAAGGTGTATGAAATTTAAAAACATAGTGGAGCACTTCCTGTATTACCACATGACATCACACAGGAGAAAAAACAAAACACAAGTCCAGGTCTGTTTTGGATGAGGAAACTACATTAAAACAGATCAGAAAAAAAAAAACATAATACAGAAACTTCAAAACCTGCAGCTTTGGCGATTTGCTAAGTTTGTCTTTTCAAATTGTGATTTCAGTCTGATTGTTATTAAAGTCTGCAAAAAAGTGTAGACTTATTTTTATGAGTTATTATTATTATTATTATTATTATTATTATTTTAAATGGCTCTGTGATATAAAGTACACGATTGTAGAAAAGCTCTGATCTCTTCACTGTTCACTCACAGAAGACCCTGCCTCATCCAGCCAGGAGCAGGATGCCTCCTCTGGTCCCTCACCTGTCCTGTCACAGCCAGGGAGCGACAGGGGGCACGGGGAGGACATGGAGGCTCTGGTGGCTCGCTGGCTCCCCCTGTCTGCTCGCATGAGACGCACCGCCCTCAAGATCTCGGACCTGTGCTGTGAGAAGGGCTGCAGCAAGAGGGAGCTCGTCCAGTTCTGCTGAAGTGACCACAACTAAATTATTCATATTTTAGATTTTAGAAGATTAAATTATGAATTATATATAATACAGTTTTGTACTGATAATGATAGAAATGTAATGTCATGTCATAATAACTATTTATTTCCTTATTAAGTGTACCTATATTTAATTAACCAATATTTAAAATGGGACTGGACATAACTGCAATAAAACATAAAATGCATTTTTCTTTAGTTTTTATTTATTTATTGAAAAATCTATCAATATCACTAGAAAGAAAGCTCAAACAAAAGTGCCAGTGCAACAGGTAGAATCATCAGATCCAATGTCAGGGCAGTTTGAGGTGAGTAACATTCCTCAGGACAAAAGTGCCCCTCATCTGTGTCCTGCACTCTGGGTATCATCATCATCATTTAGAGGGAAAATATTATATATATACTGCTCAAAAAAATATACTTGTCAAACATGCATACAAGCATGAGACTGAGAAGCATTTTGAGTTGCAGAAATGGCAAAATGAAGTAAATGAAGTAGCCTGCCACATCATTATTTCACTTTGATTTTCAGGAGGTCTATAACATCAATCCCTCTGTGGGCTCAGATTTGTATTTCCATTAAAAGAGGAGCATCCTTTTGTTCCTAAGGCATCACCCTGTTCATATTTGTATAAACACCCAGCTTTTTTTAGTCACATTGAGATCGGATGTGTTTTCAAAGTGTTTCTTTAATTTTTTTGGAGCAGTGTATTTATACTATAATCATTATATATTTATTTGTTTTGGGACAATAACAGTCAACCAAAATATTAGACATCTGTCTACCAATTTGGATAAATTGACATGAAATAAAAACCTCTATATTTCTAACATCATTTTGGAATATTTTAACCAACCAGAAACCACCTATAACAAAATAAAATGTTGTCCTAATATAATTATGCTATGTCACCTTTTTGATTTAAATCTTTGTGTAAAAAGTGCATCTTTAAACTGCCTATGTTTGGATTGGCTGAGCAGCCCCTGTTGTCTTCTCACATATCACCACTTTTCATTCAAAGCTTGTACCTGTGGTGTGACTGAGGCCAGCCACCATGAGCAGAAACAGGAGCAGAAGCAGGGGGCAATGTGCACTCAATGATGCCACTGCATTTGGTTGTTGAGAGAAAACAAAAAACAAACAAAACAAACAAACAAACAAACAAAACAAAAAAAAAAAAAACTCTCCAAAGGTTAAATCTACAAATCTTTTCCCTGATTCACATTAGTGACAAGGGCCAAAATCCTACTTGTTATGCAAAAAACACCGTGACAACCACCATAGCAACCACTATAACAACCACCACAACAGCTATGGTGGTTGCTATAGTGGTTCTCATGGTGGTTGCTTTGGTAGTTGCTATGGTGGTTGTTATGGTGGTGATTGTTATGGTGGTTACTATGGTGGTTGTTATGGTTGTTATGGTGTTTGCTATGGTGGTTAAGGCTGTTGCTTTGGTGGTTATTATGCAACAACCACCATGACAACCACCATAACAACCATAACAACCACCATAGTAACCACCATAAGAACCTACCATAGCAACCACCCTAGCAACCATAACAACCACCATAACAACCATAACAACCACCATAGCAACCACCATAATAATCAACTACCATAGCAACCACCATGACAACGATAACAACCACCATAACTACGACCGTAGCAATCACTATAGGAACCACCATGACAACACCAAAACAACCATAACAACAACCATAAAAACCATCAGAGCAACCACCATAACAACCAATATAATGTTATGGTGCTTGTTATGATGGTTGTCATGGGTGGTTGCTATGGTTGTTGTTATGGTGGTTGCTATGGTGGTTGTTATTGGTGTTATGGTTGTTTTGGTGGTTGCTATGGTGGTTATCAACCACAAAAACCACCATAACCACCATAACAACCATAACAACAACAACAACCACCACCATAGCAACCACCATAACAACCACCACCATAGCAACCACCTTAACAACCACCATGACATCTACCATAGCAGTCACCCTAGAAACCACCATAACAACTACCATGACAACCACCATAGCAACCACCTTAGCAACAACCATAACTACCAACACCGTAACAACCACCATAAAAACTACCATAACAACAACCATCGCAATGACCATAACAATCACCATAGCAACCACCATAACAACCACCATGACAACCACCATAGCAACAACCATAACATCACCATGACAACCATTATAACAACAACCATAGCAACCACCATAACAATCCCCATAGCAAACACCATAGCAACCACCATAACAACCACCATACCACCCACCATAACAACCACCATGACAACCACCATAGCAACCACCATAGCAACCACCATAACAACCACCCTGACAAGCACCATAGCAACCACCATGATAACCACCATAGCAACCACCTAAGCAACCACCATGACAACCAACAACATAACAACCACCTTAACAACCACCATGACAACCACCATGACAACCACCATCGCAACCACCATGACAACCACCATAGCAACAACCATAACATCACCATGACAACCATTATAACAACAACCATAGCAACCACCATAACAATCCCCATAGCAAACACCATAGCAACCACCATAACAACCACCATACCACCCACCATAACAACCACCATGACAACCACCATAGCAACCACCATAGCAACCACCATAACAACCACCCTGACAAGCACCATAGCAACCACCATGATAACCACCATAGCAACCACCTAAGCAACCACCATGACAACCAACAACATAACAACCACCATAACAACCACCATGACAACCGCCATAGCAACCACCTTAGCAACCACCATAACAACCAACACCATAACAACCACCATAGCAACGACCAGAACAACCACCAGAACAACCATGGTGGTTAGTCAACTTCTAGGTAAATTTGTGTGAAAATAAGAAAGAAAACATATATACTTTAGTTAACATAGGTACTAAAACATTGATGAAAGTTTTATAATATTCCCCTGAAAGTCCCTCCACCCCGGTGATTTGCCATTCTTTATTTTAACAATGCCTTTCCTTATTTCTTCCTGTGTTATAGGACATGTTACTGAGTCAGCTTCTTCTGTGGTCAGTTTTGCTAATTTGATAGATTTTAGAAAAGTTTCTATCCTATTCTCCTTCCCAGGCAGATGTTCTTTCTCATACAGCTAATCGCCAAACTGGCAGATCTTGGCTTTATGAAAGCTTCCCCCTTTATGAGTTAATAAATTATCTAGTTTCTTTCTGTTTTCTTTCAGCGATGTTAACACTTTTTTGTCATGGATATGTTGAATTACACCTTTGTCTTTTTCTTTTGGTTATTATGACTGAAAAAAAACACATTCTTCTTTTAACCCCTGCAGTCTGTAACAGAGCTGCTGAGAAAAACTCAGAATGTCCCAGATCTGGTTTTCTAAGAATCATTAGACCTAAAACACTGAAGAAAAATAAGAAAAGAAGAAGAAACACAATTCTCCAAGATTTTAGCCTTTAGGCATGTTAGGCCTCACTGCTTCGTTTTTGTTCAGTTTTTTGTCCAAAAAAAAAAAAAAAACTGTTAAGTTCTATGATGCCTCAGTGGCTCGGTGGGTTAAGGTTAGAATTTCTCCCTGTGTTTGAGTATTTGTTCGTTTTTCAAGACACTTGGGTTTCCTCATCCACCCAAAACATGCACCATTTTTATTATTATTTATTTTATTGAATATTTTTGACACAGTGTGAAGACAAATGTGAGCCTAGGTTTAATTTTTCCCCCTGATTGAATAAATAAGAGAATGATCAGAAACAGCAGTGGAATGTGGTCAGGTTTTGAGCTTGTGCAGTACTTCCTTTTCTCCACTAGATGGGGGCATGAACTCACTGTGCATGACTAAGCGGCTCCACAGAACTCCTCTGGCTCCACAGACCTCCTCTGGCTCCACAGACCTCCTCTGGCTCCACAGACCTCCTCTGGCTCCACAGACCTCCTCTGGCTCCACAGACCTCCTCTGGCTCCACAGACCTCCTCTGGCTCCACAGAACTCCTCTGGTTCCACAGAACTCCTCTGGCTCACAGAACTCCTCTGGCTCCACAGACCTCCACTGGCTCACAGAGCTCCTCTGGCTCCACAGAGCTCCTCTGGCTCACAGACCTCCTCTGGCTCACAGACCTCCTCTGGCTCACAGACCTCCTCTGGCTCACAGACCTCCTCTGGCTCACAGAGCTCCTCTGGCTCACAGACCTCCTCTGGCTCACAGAGCTCCTCTGAGGCGTTTAGGCTCATTCAGCAAAGCCGTCTCCAGCACAGCAGCCCTCCTCTCCCATGACAGAGCCTCGGCCCACTTTTGAAAGAAATGATCAACATAGAACTTATGATCCACACATGTTCAGCCTTCTCATTATTTGTTTGGGACTAGCTTCATAAACTTGCCATATTAATGTTATGGTTTCAAGTGACAGATTAGAGTCGACTACACATTTGACTAACACAGCACTAACGTCATTTTATTTAAAGTTCCTATTACACAAAAGTGACTCTTGTGAGCTTTAAGCCATGTGGATCATTTCATCTGTGGAATAGCCTGTACTGAATGAAAAGGAGCAGTTAACTTGAAAACTAACCTTAAATATATCTTTTTTATACAATTTTAATATGACTAAATATATAAAACATTCAACTTCTAAAGACTCTAAATAAAGCTTCTCATTGCACTACTTACATTAAACGGCGGCACGGTGGCTGAGTGACATGGCAGCCAAACTTCTGTCAGTGTGTCCCAGGGCAGCTGTGGCTACAATAGTAGCTTACCATCACCAGGTGTAGAGTGAATGAAGAATGCTGAATAATGCTCTGTCAAGCATCTTTGGGGACAGAAAATGTCTGTGAAAAGCACTGTATAAATAAAGACTTACTTAAACAGAATATTCATGACTTATGAATTAAGACAATTATTTTGACACTATTGTGTCTTTAGAGTCTTCACATTATTTTCA